GCTGTGCAGATGAAAGAGCTGTGCTTAATATTGCATTTCTTTTGTCCTAGAGTGATATAAACTCGCAGTAATGACTCTTGAGCAGAAAGCAATCAAGTGGTAACAGCTGGGCAGAGGTGAGCATGAATGCACTGTCAAGAACTTGCAGGTCAAATTCCTTCTGTAGATCTTATGCGTGCATCCATCTTTGGCTGAGCACAGATCAGTGCCTGTGCCACTCTCTGTGGAAGATGTGAAATCCAAAGTTATGCAACTCTTCAAAGCTTTCACATCAATTTCTAAAGAGTTTATACAGAAATGTGCTCTGCTGTTTCTCTCCGTACTTTGCTTAGTGCTATCATGGCTGTCTTGTATTTGAATGTGATTTTCCAGTGCAATTTTCCTCTCCTAGTGAAAAGCTAAGCCATTCCTTCCCAAAGGAAGGAAGGCAAAAATAAATAATAAAAAAATAAAAGGCAAAAATAAAAAATCCCTGTGTGGTAGAATACTGCTGCCTGTTGATATTATTAACATGTTAATATTATTAATATGCCCTGGATCCATAGCAAAGAGACAGAATTTTAGTTAATTTCTGTGGCTTTTGGCAGTTCTCTCACAACTTGAGCTGAGGTAAAAGCCAAATGGTGTGGGGCTATCAGCCATTTTCCCTGGCCCTGAGAAAAATGACTCATGGATTGCTTTCCGTGGATCAGTGGCCATGATGCTCTGCTAGGAGACTTTGTTTCCAAGACAACTGTTGCCAAGAAAGACTGGTTTTCCTTGGGAACAATTTCAGTTTGTTATTTCTGTACAGCAAACCTTCTTCTGTATCCACTGTTAGAACTGTGAGAGAAGCTCTTGGGGTTCCAACTCCTGGAGGAAACAGAGGAACAGTACGAAGAGGAAGTCATTCTAATCACCAAGAGGGGGTTTTCAGTCTTACATGGACCTGCACAAAGTTCATGATCTCTCAGAACATGTAGGCACTCTGCAAATACAGGCCCTGAAATAGCACCTGTGAGACTCTTCAGGACATGGTATCAAAGGAATTCCAAAGCTTACAGTTCTCTTCAACAATACTTAGTTGGGAATGGATGGGGTCTTGAGGGATATTCAGTATTTTAATACATCTGTATAAAAATCTTACAATTTAGTACAGAGGCTGTTATTTGCAACTTGTGCGTGCTGAAAGCAGCAGATTCCCCCACCTCACACTAACGTGAAAATCTCATGTTTCTTAAAGTAATGCTTTCAAGACATGCTCTCAAAGGATCATTCTGTTTCCTTTAACATTTCTCTTGATTTTTAGATCATCTGAAAGATTGCCTTTGCTTCACTTTATTAAAGGTATAGTGATAATGTGTGTCGAGTCAATAATCCCTTTTGTTACAGAGGTTTCTGAAGTTTGTGATGAATATCTTTACTGTTCTAGCATTGGCTTCCCATTTTTTGCATTGAATAGTTCTATTTCAATTGGAAAGTTTCTTTGATTATGTCATAATATTAGGTCATATTGACCTCAGTGGATTTAATGTAGTTAAGTGAATAAGCTATTCTGGTAAGTACATACACCTACTGACCACCTAGCATCCACCAGAGGTCACTTCCTGGCCACATAATCCATTATCAACTGTGCTTTCAGTTCAGCTGTTAGCTGCTTTTGTTTTGCCCTCAAAAGCCTGCTAATTACTTTGAATCCTGTCTAGAACCATTAAGACACAGAAAAAGAAGATCCTGATGAAACATTAAAAATGTAGGGATTTGATTGATCCCACAACCTTAGTGGCTAACGATCCCATGCTTTGCAAGATATTAAAGATATATTATTAAAGACATTAAGATATATTATTTGTAGATATTAAAGAATTTTAAGTACAACCTGACTCTACCTTGTATAATCTTATCTGGATTCTCATCTTCTTAATCGTCACAAAATCTTTTTCAATATGCACTTAAATTGAAAAGTGAAATATATTTATAGCTTCTGAAACATCAGCAGCATCTGAGCCTCTCTTGTTTATTGGAGAGGCCTGTTTTTGACAATTTTTTCTTGCAATATGAAGAAATCCCTCTAGAATTCTTTACTGACTAGTCTATTGGAAGACACGAACAACTCATCCTATTTTGGAAAAGGTGCCATTCTATATCTTTTGTAGCTGAAGTGAAAATCTGGAAATCAGACGTGATGTTTCATGAGATGTTATTTTCCTCCAGCATCTCATGTTCTTAAAGCTTACATGTCTGTTAGCTCAACCTACTCATTTTCAAGGAGATGGAGGAACTTGTTATATGTGTTCATGGCAGTCTGTTCCTAAAATGAGGAAACTCTCTGTGAATTGTGAACTCTGAAATCTCAAGCAAACCCAAACTTCTTCACTTCTTCTCAGTTAAGAAAACGTGTGTTTTGTTTTCTTTTGTTTTTTGGTCTGGTTTGCTTCAGATCCATCTCACTCTCTTTCATCTCCTACATCAGTCTCAGTTTCACGAACTCCAAACCATAAATCAGTATCTCTTTTGAGACTGTAATAAGAATCAGGAATATTTTTTGGTTGTAAGTGTAGCTCCAGACTAAAGTGCAATCATTTAAAGTTTAAGAGAGGAGAAGGTGGTATTTGTACCTAGCTTATCATCTATCTGATTATTAACACCCACTGAAAATTTGCTGGGATGTGCTTGTTTAGGTCTCTTATAAACATACTTCAGTAACATAAACTCAGAGTTTTATACTTTCTGATGCTTATACTAACTTCTGCAATAACTGCTGAGACGAATAATAATTACAATATTACAATATTATTCTTATACCTTCTTTTTTACTATGGTATTCTTGCTAGCATGTTCTACTGTAGAAATTTTGACCTCTTTCACAAGTAATGGACAAGTTTAAATTATTCTTTATGTGGACAGTGAGTACAGGAAATCCTAAGATTTTATCATTGGTGAGGATTGCCTCAAGGTAGCAACCCAGCACCAGAAACAACTATCCATGTAGTCTTTGTGCCTGGCTGACAACTGAAAATAAAGAGAACTTCAGCTCTGCTCCATCCTTCTTACTGTCCAGAAGTACAGATGCATAGGAGGTTACACAGGCAAGGGATAAATCACTATTAATTCAGAAGAACAGAACAGCTTCCACTTCAGATTTTTTGAAAGGGTTCTAATTATACTCACTGTATGAGCACCTATTAAGAATTGTGCTCCATAATGCCTGGACTCAGATTTTTTTCTGAAATAAGGTTATTCCTAGGGTCTTGTTCTTCAGAACTCTTTAATCCTACCTCTGATTGCCTCAGTGAAAGGTTTGAAATACTTTGTAAGCTCCTGGTTTGGAGATAAGAGCACACTGTTGGTCTGACATCAAAGTGAATCGATGAGCTAGCTGTGCATTATCCACTGCTTTAGCCGTACAGTCCTTTGCAAACCTCTAGAAGCTGTCACTCTGCTATGCTGTGATGAAAATAATTGGATGTAGCTCCCACTTCTGTTATTGCCTTATACTGTTGCTGCTGGTGAAGAGGACTCGAAACCGATGGCTCCAAAGGGAACTTTGAGGCTTCAAAAGCCAGGTTTTCTCACATGCTGGGCTGCTTGCTTCTCCAAGAAAATTTGAAGAGCTGCACTTTATGGCAAAGAGCAGACAGACATAAGACAGTTCCTACAACCAAATGACATGCAGAAAGAAATTATATTTGAGCATCTAAGCCGAGAACAACTCAGTACTGAAACTAAATATTTCTAGAGGAAGGGACGGCTTTATAGAAATGAGGAGGAAAAAAAATGAAATGAGAAATCCAGTGAAGAAAACCTAATAATTTTGAATACTGAACCACCTGCCCTCATGATTTTTACATGTCATTTGACTCAGGAATTTATAATAATCCTGAAGGCTTGGATAAATGTATTGTTGTGCTTCTGCTTTGTAAAATTTCTGTGTGATAAATACATCTCTACAAGATGCTTCACATGATATGTTTAGTGTTCTGAGCTGTACTAGGTGAATACTAGGAGTAGGATAATCGCTGAGAACACTGTCTAATTCATACTTTCTCTTTTGCAGGCAGGAAACATTCAGAGAAGTTCAATGGGGGAAAAATAAACCAGAAGTTTCTGTGGATTACAAGGTGACAGTACAAGCTCTGGAAGCCATGCGTTGACAGCATATGGATAGCACATTCTAGTTCTTAGTCAAGATAGCCAATTGATATGGAATTTCCAGCTTCTTATTTAAGGAACTAGACCTCTAATTCCAAATCTTCATGGTGTTGGCTTTCAAATGTTTTTATCAAATCATGGCTGAAAGAGTTTGAATTGATATTTTCAGCTGGAGATGTCTATCAGAGCTTCCTCTGGGTAAGGAAGTTTTCCACAAGCAGAGTTGCTAGAGCCATCTATTCCTCAGAACAACATTTTATACTACTCTTATTTCAGAGCTATCCTTGGCAATATATACACAAAGACAAACTATTCCTATTACTCTAATTTCGATGCAGGCTCTATTGAGAATTTTGGCCTGCTCACTGTGTCACAGTCTTTACAGGAAGAGAAGTAGAGGTGACTTATTTAAATGTTTTATTTCTTCACGCAATGTTGTCTTTTTCTCATCTACACACAAATGTACATGTTTGACTTGGCCAGTTTTTTTCCATGGATAATGCAGAGTATATTGCAGGAAAAACACCCACTGCAGTCAAGCAGGATCCAAGTCTTTATTTGAAGATTATTCCACTGACTGAATAAAGGGGAAAAGCAATACAGTCAAAATGAATACCTTTCAGATAGCCTGTTTTTTTGTTGTTTTTTTCTTTTTCCTTTTTTTTTTTTTTTTTCTGTGTGCGTGGGGGGGCTGTTCTGTTTTGTTCTTCATTTGTACTGTAACAAAGTCAATATACATCCAAGGCCAGGCAAAGAGCAAAGGGTTTACTCCCAGAATGTCATACGCAATTCCTGTAAATAGGGGTGGTAAGGTTGAAGTAGATGATCTCTAGGATTGTGCAAGACAGAGATAAGCCAGAAAACCCCAAATAAAGCTCAAAATTACAGCTTTAGTGGAAACTAAAGGACTTTATTTTTTTTCCTCTTGGCAGGCTGGTCCTTCAGATAAAAATCCAGCTATCTTCTGTTTCAATTCTTCTCTACTACGTTCTGTCACACTGGCTGTCAGGAAAGCCAATGAAGTGATAAGATTTTCACTGTGCACTAAGCAGGTAAAGGTGCTGGTGAGTAAAACTCTCTTTTGCTGTAATAAGTATTTGACCATACAGAGGCCTTGCAACCCTTGCAAGTTCAAGCATGCCACTTAGAAAGTGGCTGCCCTTGCAGTGCACAGTAAGCTGATGAAGATGACTTTGAGCAGGATGTGTCTGTCCATTTAACAGCATTCTGTCCCTTAGTATTCTCTATACTAACATACTATTTACTTTTGAAGAGCAGTTTCCCCAGTATTTGACTCAAAAGGGCTGTCCTTTTCTGTCAAATTTAGGCTTCAGGGCTGATGACTCAGAGCTGTCAGCTCCATGATTAGTACTGTTTTGCCTCCTGGCTGCCTCTTCCAGGATCATTTGCCTGATTTTTACCTTCATGGGGTGAGGCATGTCATAATATACTCTTTATGGAGGAATGCAAGAATTTTCTGAGATATATCTCTTGAAATAGGTGTACCAATATCACTTCCAAAACTAGCTACCTTTGAAGTATTAAAGAAGCTTCATTTCAGGGCCTAATTCTGATCCTTCTGCTTAAATATTCTGCAGTTGTGTAAGCCTTGCAACTTACAGAGTGTTACTGCACCCACACTTGGCGTGACTCTCCATGTTGAAATCTCCATCTTCTCTAAATTTAAATATGGATTGCAAAATCTATGTTTCCTATTTTAGGAAATCCCTGAGATTTTTCTGATACAGTGGGAATATTTTGCTTTTTTTTTTTTTTTTTTTTTTTTTTTTTTTTTTTTTTTTTTTTTTTGTTTTTAATCCAAACTAATGTTGATATAAACTGTCATTAATGTCTTTTTGAAGTGATAAAGTTTCCAGGAAACCCTGCCATCAATTTCTTAGAGGGGAAAGAGACCCTTTGGTTTTCCTAGAACAAAGACTTAGAGCATTCATCTTGGAAAACTTTAGAGGTAAGCAGGTGGTAGCTTCAGAAGGCCAGCAGCCAAAAACAACACCAGTCTGTGTGTTAGGGACTTTGTAGTGACAGTATTCTCTGCGAGCTTTTGTTTTTAAATTTTTTTTTGTTGGATCATTATTATGAACTTTTTCATACTGCCTTCATGAAAGACAGAAGTGGTATTTTCCCTGGTACCAAATAATGAGCCAAGTATAAATATCCAACAGAAAAAGCCCTTGGGTGGGTAAGAAGAGCTGTCTTTTGTCCGTGATGCTGGATAGGAAAAATAAATTGGATTCAAGCTCTATTATTACTGGTTAGCTAAGTAATTTCCCTTGTTTTGTTTTGGTATAGGCAGTTGCTCCAGATTTGGATGTGAGCCTACAGAGAAGTATACAGAAAAGTGGTGCTTCTTTAACTGCTTTCTTTTCCTACTGATCATGTTCTCACAGTAATAAGCTAGCGAGTGCATTTTATATTGCACTTTATCAGATGAATCAAGACAGAATAGGATGTTCTCCATGGGGAATTTTTCCTGAGGCTTAAATTGAAAAGTGATTAGCAAAATTCATGCTGGATATGATTGTGCCTCCTTATCCATGCTTAAGACAATACTTCCTTAAACATGTTTCCTACTTTAGGCTGATCAGTAGAACCGAGAGAAAACAATGGCAGTTGACTTAGTACTTATTTACCCTTTAGGTTTGACAGATCATGTTTGTGGTAGTTTCATTTTGTTGTTTGTTTCTTTGCTTTTGTTTTCAGTTAGACACAAAATATATTGGACATGTTTATATCAAATTTGACCATCATATTAAAATTGAGAATAATTATTTTTGTGCAGTTCATCAGAACATAACGCAGAGCTTTATCTTACGATGTTATTGCCTGTCACTGTTCTGCTCAGAGAGGGCAGCAAAGTATTGCAGTTCTGAGATCCAAGAGAACATCAGCTCTGAGGCATAATACTGAAAAAGTAATGTATCTTTATTAATATACAAGGTGTGAAAGGAGAAATTGAGAGGCAATCAGATGATGATTATCTAAGCATACCTGAAATTTTTGTCCTTTAAGCTATCAGTGTTTGCTAGTACTGAAGATATTATCAAAAGAAATATCTTAATCACTCTTAGTTTCAACGTACAGTAATCCTCATAGCTGTAGAGAGAAGAGTCCCTGCAGAGATTAAATAGCTGGAAAGTTTAGGATTCATTGCAAACTGTCATTCTGTATGAATCATTTGGCATAAAGAGAAATTATTTAAGTTTAAACTTGCTATGAAAAAATACATTAAAATAAATTAGCAGCATGGTGAAATGGATGATATATTCTTTATACCTTGACATTTTTGGATTTTTGTAAGCTTCGTTGTTTTTCTTCTGATTTCCATACATAAGTATACAATCAGAGGCTGGATTATATGGTTTATACGCTACCCCCTGTTCTTGCCCTTTGGAACAAAGATTGGAGTATATTTCCTGGGTAACGCAGGCAAATTTTTCCTAGACAACCCTTTAAAATGATCACGTAAATGGATAAATTTGTGATGTGACTCTGCTTTATTTCTCACAGACCCGTGGACTTAGCAATGACTATTCTTCAGCCTTTCAGTGCTTTGCTGCTTTGTCTATCACTGATGATGGCAACAAGTTCACTTACCACAGATAAACCTGAAGAGAAAATGTATTCATGTCCCATCATTCAGTGTAGCGCTCCTGCAGTCAACGGATTACCAGGCAGAGATGGAAGAGATGGTCCCAAAGGTGAAAAGGGAGACCCAGGTACAGAGCATTTATCAGTAGTGTATTTTTGATGCTCCTTTTCATCCCTTTAGTCTTATTTTATGCCTTTTCTGTTATTCCATTTTTCTACTTCTTCTCTGCCATATTAACCTTTTATAGTTTCTGTAAATTTGCAGAAAGCTGTCTATAAAGCACTTGCTCCATTTTTAATTCTATTCTAGATACTTGGATTTAATAAATAAATTTAAAAAAAAAAAACCATACAGATATAAAATCCCATTTTCACAGCAGCCCATAGAACGGAGATAAAATGAGATTTTAATCTCAATGTACCATTCGTATTCTGAGCCATTTACAGAGTTTCCTACGTACCATACTAAATTATGTCTGCTTTCCAGTGGCCAGCTCTCAAAACCAGAAATCATGTTTGCTGAAGTTGGCTACTAACCTAATGATAATAATTGGATTGCTTCAAATTAACTAAGTCCCAGCAACTGAATTTCCCTCAAGACATGATTTGACAAACAGTTGCTGCAAACAAACAGATCAGAAAGTGCTTTCTGTCACAGAGTACAACGGAGTTACCACCTTTCCCAAGATATAAAATTGTTTCTGAGAAAATATTTAATAAGTACATACAGAACTGTATACCTTCTTACTACATCCTATGCTGTAAGAATGTTTTTCCTCATATTCATATGGAATTTCTTGTTCTGTCACTGGGCATCACTGAAAAGATCCTACCCCCACTTGACTCCCACACCTTATCTATTTATAAGCTTTGATAAGATCCTCTCTCAGTTTCCTCTACTGCCAGCTGAACAGTCCCAGGTTGCTCAGTCTTTCCTCATATGAGATGCTCCAGGCCCCTAATCATCTCTGTGGTCTTCCACTGGACTCTTTCTAGGAGATCCCTGACTTTTTTTGAACTAGGGATGCCAGAGCTGAACACAGTACTCCAAATCTGGTCTCACTAGGGTAGAGTAGACAGTGAGGATTATCTCCTTTGACCCGCTTGTCCCACTCTTTTTATTTCACCCTAGGATATACCATTGGCCTTTCTGGCCACAGAGGCACACTGCTGGCTCACAGCCAACCTGCTGTCCATCAGGACACCCAGATCCTTATACTCAGAGTTAATTTCCAGCAGGTCAGCCCCTAACTTGCACTGACATGCAGTTATTCCTTCCCCAGTGTAGGATTCTACACTCGCCCTTGTGGAACCCCATAAGGTTCCTTTCCATCCAACTCTCCAGTCTGTCCAGGTATTGCTGAATATCCAGACAGCCTTCTAGTGTGCCAATCACTCATCCTAGCTTTATATCATCTTGTCATGTGTATAGTACTCCTCCTGGAGTTAGTTAATTACTTTTCAATATCCGAGCAAATTCCTATCAGTATGAATATAGCTTGATATGTATTTAAATATTCAAGTTGCCCAGAGAAGCTGTGGATGCTCCATCCCCAGAGGCGTTCAGGCCTGGGTTGAATGGAGCTCTGGGCTTCCTGATGTAATGGGTGGCAACCCTGTCTGCAGTAGGGAGTTGGAACTGGATGATCTTTAAGGTCTCATCCGATACAATGATTCAATGATATGACATAAGATGTAAAATTTATCTGGAGTATACAAATGTTCAGTATAGACATTTTCAGTATCACATATCCTCAGTATGCTCTCTGTTGTTTCGTGGCTGAAATATGTAAAGCCAGCACTGCCTGATTAAATAACCACTTCAGAGGTATGCTTGACCTTTATTACATTTTACCTAATTTTCTAAATAACATAAGGTTGGACTACATGTAACGGCTTTCTGATTTTAGAGCATGTGTATCTCTGCAATAACAAAGTGTTTATTACATTGGAATTTCATTTTCATAAATAGATATAATAATGAATTTTGTGTCACAGTGATTTTTCATCCAAGTAATGCAGTTCCTAGCAAATGAATATTTTGACAGGAACAATTTTCAGGTGGAAGTAGGGGTGGTTTTTGACACAATGAGTGGTTGGAAGATTTCAGCAATGGCAAAATGAAATGATATCGACCATTGGAAGTTAATATAGTATTGTAACACCTTGAGGATATTTTTGTTAGATGTCTCATTCCCCTCCTTTCTACTGAGTTAGGATTTCTGGCCATGCTCTATTTCTTGGTTCTTTGCTGTTCAAAATGTATATTACCAATTATTATTCTTTTGAGATAAAATGCATTTACTGAGTGGGGTGTTTTTTATTTTTATTTTTTTCAGCAATTGTTTCTACAATTAGTATTCACATAGAATTTGAGGATATGTTGTGTTTCATGTAAAAACCTCAAATACTGAGTATTTCTTAAAAGAAGTTCATCATTCATGAAGTTCAGGGTAACCTTACAGTGCATCACAGAAAACTTAAAATGATGAGTGAGTATTAGGAAATCATGGGTAAACAAGAAGTCGTCTGATGCTGTGAATTATCTCCTTTTCTGATCGGTATAAATGCAGGGACTTTGTTTTGTTGTTGAAAAGCTTTCTCAAAGCAGAAATACAGATAGCTCCACCAACGTTATCTATTTTCCCTTCACTTACCAATTTCATCCCTTTCTTCTGAGTGAATTCATCTCTTTACCTCCTATCCTCAGCTGGGTTTGCAAACATCTTCTTAAGAGAGTCTTTGATGTTAATGTCTTCTGCACACAGTTGCTAGTTGTTAAACTGTTTCTCAGTTCAGGACTCTCTCCAAACACTAAGGGAACATGGTGGGAGAACACTCTCAGAAAACATTAGAACTATTTTCTCTCAAATCAAACTCTAGGGGAAGGATTGAGAGGTCTGCAGGGTTTGCCTGGAAAAGCAGGACCTCCAGGATTAAAAGGAGAGGTGGGACCACAAGGAGAAAAAGGTCAAAAAGGAGAACGTGGAAGTAAGTAGCAAAGCTCTCGTGTTTCTATAATCTATTTTTCAACCTGTTAGTGTATTATCTTTAAAATATTTGTTATCATGTCTAGCGTTCTTATTATGTCATTTGAAGAAAGGTGTGAAGGTGTGACTTCCAGAAGTGTAATGAGCAAACAAATAAAACGCCTGTTACTTAGGGGATGTGTTGCCCAGCATAACTTGGGAAAAAAAGTGTCTGGAGTCACTAGTTCTTTGTTGTTTGTGTCTAAAATTACAAATCCTTTCACTCAGATCACAAAGGCATTTCCCTTTAATTCTTTGTCTGTTCATTTATTTTCCTCTTTAATTCATTTAAAATGCTTACATTTGTGTTTTACCTTTGAGATCTGGGCTTTTCCAGATGAATTGATGAGCTTGTCAGCTCTGAGAATTCAAAGCGCACCCAAATATTCATCTGAGTTAGAAATGTGGCTCTCTCACTGGCACAATTTCCCAGAGAGTGATTCTGCAATGGTGCCCTATGGTTTCTGGTCTGGAAACCAAATGTCTCTCACACAGATTCACATCAGATGAAAGATAGCAGTGGTGTAGTTATTTTTAAGATAAATTACTAAATAATACCCTTAATTCTTAGTTGTTGTAACTGATGACCTGCAACGACAAATAACTGCTTTGGAAGTGAAAATACGGGTATTGGAAGATGATTTAAACAGATACAAAAAAGGTAAGATACAATCATATCAATTTTCTTTTTGGAGTTTCCTTAGAGTTATTATAAGATGGTAGACTCCCTTGACACTAATCCTGGATACCTGTTGAAGACAGTAAGTTAAAATAAATGTCTGTCAAAGAAAGCAAATGCATTTCAAAAGGGTTGTTCCAAGCCCAGTCTTATCTATTAAATGAACAAGAGGCTCACTTTACATTGGGTTTTTTTTTGTTTGTTTCATGAAAACCTGGCAGGCATGTGAACTATAGATATGTATATTTCTCCTAAGATCATTGTTTTCAAGGCAAATATTCAATTTCCCAGACTCACTAAAGCTGTCCCTTTATTTCTTGTTTGCGCTCCCTGGTTTGAAACTCTGAATTTCATTACAGTCTCTTAGCTTTAGGTATGAAAGATCTCCTAATGGCAGCTCAGTTCCTCTGCATGAATTTTAATTAGTCTCTGATTTTTGCATTGAGACCTGACAAGCTTTTTTTTTTTGTCCTGCGTGAAATTTGATTTAGGGAGCAAGTTCCTTCAGGTCTTGATTCAAGAGCAGTAGTGAGATGCAAACAAAAAAATATATAATAAAAAATATATAAATATATATTAAAAATAAAAAATAAAAATAAAAAATAATATGGGAACAAAAAATATATGTTAAAAATTACTTGTGATCCAAGCCTTGTGAAAGTCCTGTTTTATTAAAATGTGGATTTGGTATAGCCAGGTGTTAATTTTGTTTGATTTCTGTTGGTTTCTGCCTACTATTACAAGTAGTCTGCTTGTACTAAAACAGTAATAATTGAGATATTATGGATAAATTACTTTAGAATCTTCAATTTATGGTGTAATTCAACATGGTGTTTGCTTTTTCTTCTAGCCATGATTTTAAAGGACGTCGTGAATGTTGCTAAAAAAATGTTTGTCTCAACTGGAAAGAAAGATAATTTTGAAAAGGGAAAATCCCTTTGTGCAAAAGCTGGAGGTGTGCTTGCCTCTCCAAGGAATGAGGCTGAGAATACAGCTTTAAAAGACTTAGTTAGCCCTTCAACCCAAGCTTATATTGGGATATCTGATGCACAAACTGAGGGCAGATTCATGTACGTGAGTGGTGGGCCTTTAACTTACAGCAACTGGAAACCTGGAGAACCAAATAATATGAAAAATGAAGACTGTGCAGTGATAGAAGGCTCTGGAAAATGGAATGATTTAGACTGTTCAAATTCAAATATCTTCATTATTTGTGAATTGTGAACAGCTAATAAACAGAAGAAAATCAATCCAACTTTCTTCTCTCAGTTATGTGGTTTTGTAGAAGTCTGTTACTATATTGCTGAATAGAATAATCAGAACCAGATTGTATTTACATTGGTTTTCTCTTTGACATCCAGTTTTGAATCTCCTAATGAAACAGACCTATTTGTTCACTCGTGAATTGTTTAGCACATGATATGCTGAGGACATTACGTTTATGCTGTAGGCTTCAGAAAGGTTTAACTCCATGTCATCTCTAGTAATAATGCCCTGGACTCGGTGCCTACTAACATTTGAAATGTATTTTCCAGTTCATGTCCTAGCACAATCTGGCTTCGTATCTTTATCTGCATTTTATAAATTGCTGAACTTAAAATGTGAACTAAAATAAATTTTGAACACTTAAACCATGCATCTCATTTGAAAACATGGAAATGTTTGGTTAAGAGAGCATTTTGAATCTAGTTTATGGAATATAATGAGCTATTTTTATACAAATTACTATTATTAGGTGATTAAGCTAATAAATGGTATTTCTGCTCCATTGCACTCATAAATTCCAAGACTAACATACCAACGAACAGGTGTTCATAATGTGGAATTGTAGTTCAGAGACCATCATCTGAGCCATATTACTGTCGCACACGGGAACGCGGTTTCTCCAGAGTCTGAGAAGAAAAGCACGTCATGTTTTCCCTCTGCATTTCTGTCAGGAGACTACAGAGATGACAGCTGGAAATAATAATTGATGCATTCTCTTCTGCTGGTAAAAATTAAGTGTTTGTCTATGGCCTATGTGATTTGGAACTCAGCCTTCACAGAAGACCTGTCCTATTTCTCTCTCTCCACAAGTCTGTTTCTAACTTTTCCACCTTCTTCTGCTCCCGTGAGAAGTACTGTAACCTTGTAGGTGACCGACAACCCAAAGCCTCTTCCTAAAGTGTATCTGAAAAACCCTGGTTGTCTCTCTGCACACCAGCAAGTGCACAGGAGACGAGTACTCTGGTTTGTTTGGTTGGTTTGTTTTGTGAGTTGTTGGTTTGATATTTTTTTTAAATTCAGTTTTGTGGAGGCAAAGCCAAATGCTGCAATATACATCTAGATTACTTGGTCGGCCTCACAACTGAAATGGAAATTCAGAGTTGCTATAGAGTCTGTTGTTATGGAGATACATTTAACTGTTGTCATGCTTGCAAGCAGTAACGAGTAGAGCTTTTTTATTTGGTCAGATACTAAGCTCTCACCCTGCTCAGTACAGAGGCTTGATGTGGAGCATGAAGAAACCATGGCTCTAATATATTCTCCAGAAGTTGTCAAGTGTAAAATAGTCCTAACTGACCTTAGTTTACAACAGCTCTGAAGTTAAAATAATATCAGACTTTGTCACAAGAGACATTTTAGATGGCAGAAAAGAACAATAATTACAGGTTGTTGAAGGATGTGAGTTTTCTAGAGCATGAAATAGATGCTAATCTGCATCATATTTTCCTTGTTAGTAACGACGTCAACTGCATTTCTTTCCTACACTAATTGGTGTCCTGCAGCTATGGAAACAAGAACTTTTAACATTCTGCCTGGGAGTTTGTAATCAATATTTATTATATGAAAATGCAGTATAAGGCTCAATATTTAAAAGACTGATTTCGGTTAATTTAGGGCCAAAAAAAAGATATATTCTGGAGAGTTGAGTACAATCTTGTCATGCTTCCGTGTTTAGAGATCTGTGGTAATTCAGTCTCCAGTGTATTTACTTGGAAAGAGTAAGTCTGTCTGCTTTGAGATCATCTTCAAAACCACTTTGATATGCTTTGTGACCATTTCGTTTGACGCTGGGTTAAGAGCAATGCCTCCAGTAGGTCAGCTGGTAAGTCACTGTGTTAGCTGCAGGTTTGAAAAGAATTTGGAGTAATATTTTGCAGATGTAAATGGCTCTGCTTTCCTGCTGTCATTTTGAAAAATTAATTTCACCTCATAATGCTAAAAATGAACTGACAAAATCTTACAGCTATGTGAGAATTTCTCTTTTAACCTGTATCTACAGCTTCAATCGTGCTGAGAGAAACAATTATAAAATGATAATATAAGCTTTTAGGATCTGTAGTAGTTTGGAGACAGTGATGAGAAGAATAAATATAATAGTACTTGTATATACATGTTTGGTATATCTTTACACACCATGATTTTAAAATAAAAAACCCACAACCTCCTTGGGCAGCCTCCCGCCTGCAGTGCCCTGTTTCTTCAGGGGTCTTTTTTTCTCACCTCGTGTTCATAGAGAGGTGAGACTGTCCGTGCTCACAGTGCCCGTAGCAATGGAACAGGTTGCCCAAGGAGGTTGTGGATGCCCCATCCCTGCAGGCATTCAAGGCCAGGCTGGATGTGGCTCTGGGCAGCCTGGTCTGTTGGTTGGCCCTGCACATAGCAGGGGGTTGGAACCAGATGGTCATTGTGGTCCTTTTCAACCCAGGCCATTCTGGGATTCTATGTCTTTATCAGAAAATATTTAATAAATACTATTTCTAATTGCCATGTCAGTGTTCCAAGAGTCCAGCTCTGAATTGTAGGTTAGACTAATTTTTACATGATTTTCCCCATGGAATACACCTTTTTGAACTTTGTGATACTTCTTGCAACCTTACGTTGAGACTGTTTGCATTTAGAGAACACTGTGCATCATTCAGATGGAATCTACACAGACTGAAAAACCCTTTGCAGGTGAGTGCAAATATTTTCTTATGCTAAAAATACTGAAAGTGAACCATGCGAACATTTATGTTGCAAGCTTAGTTTCATACAGTCCAAATTTTCTAGATAGCTATGTTTTTGTGCCTGATTGTGCACAGGAAAGCAAGAACAACATACAGAGGAAGTTTGAGCTATTTTTTCAAGTCTTTTTCTTAAAGTAGACACCTTGTCTTTTGAGTCCTTGAGATCTCTGACTTAAGTCATATTTTTTAACTCGGTAAGGTATTCTTGGTGCCCAAAGTTATGACCTTTCTCACCACCCACGTTAGGGACAACATTCACTCTTTAGTGACTCTGTTTTTTAATAGATGAACAACAGAAAGTGAGAGATTGAAATTGTTTTTCAAGAGGCTTAAATTAGCATCCCTGATGACCACTTAATTTTACATTAATTAGAAACTAATCTCTATTTGCTGTTATACCCCTGATTAGAACCTCTCATGTGGTGTTAATATGACCTTCACAGAGCTTCTGAGCAATTCAGGATGAGAGCAGCGTCTGTTAATCAGCTGCTGGATTTATCTTTCTAAACCACAGCGCAATTTCAGGCTGAGTACAGGCTTAGGAAGAGCTGTTCTGTCACCTGTGAACAAGCTATTATTTCTGAGAAGCTCTTTTCCTTCTTTTCATTTTTGAAGTGTCATTTTTCAGTGGGAACTACGAGACAGAAATGGGAAACTATTTCAATCAGTAGCACCTTGTACTTACTGTTTTATTTATTAATCATAGAATCTAAGTATGGGGGAGAGGTTGATAATTTATGCCCAGACCAGAGGAGAAACATGCCCTTTACTCTGGCTTATTTTCTACTCTCAAAGAAGGCATTGTCTTCATGAGTGAAATGAGCAGAGTAGTGTTATGCAGGAGAGATTGTAGCTTTAGTACTACCAAGGTGGCTCTACCTTACGGCCTGGGAAAGAAAAATAATTCTTAGATTGTAATTTGGCCAATAATGTCCAGGAAAAAAAAGTAAGGCAGGAGGATCTGGAAACAGAAGTGCAGTCTTAAATCTCTTTTAAGCTTTGCCAAATTTCTCTGTACTTGCAGCTGGATTGGATCCTTTGTCTTCTCTCTAGGGAATGACTTTATCCTAAGACACCTGCAGTTAACATCCCTTTTTATGGTCTGTGACCCTACTGATGTTTTGGACACTGTAGCTTGAGCCGTTTAGATCAGTGCTTCAGGGCAAACTGTTGCAAGACCTATTTCTTGGCTCTGTTTTATTCTAGTTTGTTTATGTCTAAAGCTGGCAGCACAATCTGTCCCACAGAGCCGAGCTTGTACTTTAATCCTGCATGAGGCATCTTTGCAGTGGAAGGAAGGCTGGCATCCTCCTCCAGCCCTGGAGAGTCTCTGTACAGATAAAACTTCAGGCAGTGGAGGAATTTACACTGGGCGAAGTAAATTAAATGTGAGAGAAATGGTCACCCCCCTTTTTTGATGTGTGGTTTCAGAGAGACTGTGCTTGAAGGTGTTTCAGAGATGTCCCTAAAGAAATGAGTAAGGAGCTTTCTGTGCTCTCTTAGGGACAGAGCTCTACATCTCTCCCATCAGATGAGAGCATCTGCACTGTGTGACTGCAGCTCTTGGCCACTTCACCTTGTGCAAAGGTATGCCCAAGAAAAGGCTCTGTGCAACTCCACCCATTCCAAAGACGACTCCAAAGCGTGCTTTTTGTTCAAAAAAGAGATACTGAACTGCTACAAACTACTTTAGCTGAGTTGGACACAGCACTTCACCAAATTTACTTGGAAGTCTTGAAATCACTGAAGCAACCTAATCAGGAATACTTTGGTTTTGGTTATCTCCTACATTACCCTTTGCAGATCCAGTAGTATCTGTGCAAGGGTGTCCCACTCAGAAGTTGTTCAATCAATGCTGTTTTGCTTACAGACCACAAAATTTTAACTCCTCTACTTCCCCTTTATGCACTCTCTACCCTACATACACAGCTATATGTATATACAAAAGCAAAGTGAAGGTGGGAAAAGAGAAATGTGGAAGGAAATGTGATACGTTTTCACCACCGTACTTTTTATTAAAGAGGCACACAGCAACTAAAATGAAAACAAAGGTCCCTTTCAGCCTAAATCATTCTGTGATTATATTCTGTGATTCTATTATATGATCTTAGTATTACTTCCTAACCCTGCTAAGAAAATCATATATTTTTGCATCAAAAATTAGCAAAATAAATATTAACTTGAAGAGTCAAATTGCCCTCTGTGTGCTGCTGTTTTCTAGTACCTGTTATTTAGGTTTTCTTTGGGATAAATAGCTTAAAAT